GTCTGGAAGCCTGGCAAACTTCAAAGCGACAAAATAGAAGACTTTTGTTTGATGTTGAACTGTACCTCACCATGCACAAATCCTTTGTCTCAACTTCATTAAATATTATTCATCGTCGTTGCACGTTTTATCTCAGTTATCCTTATAGGCCTAATTCCACGACAACCGAAATGCGAAAAATTTCACGCGAAAAGGTTGAACGCATGCGCAACATGATTTTGGAATGTTTCTCTGAGAAATATTCTCTTCGCCGGGTAGTCGAATTCGTTTCTACTCCGTTGCGAAATGGAAATAGCGAAGCCATGACAAAATTCCGATCCAATCAAATGCTTGTGTTTTAGATGACAAAATAGCGAAACCAATCAAATGCTTGTGTTTTGGATGACAAAATAGCGAAACCAATCAAATGCTTGTGTTTTGGATGACAAAATAGCGAAACCAATCAAATGCTTATTATGCTTGTGTTTTGGCGAAATTTTTCTCTACTATGGAAATCACTGGGAGAGAAAATTTTCGCACAAGTGTGTTTTCGCGCGAACTTTTTCGCATTTCGCTCGTCGTGGAATTAGTCCTTATTGGATGATCACTTCATTATACGAAAATACAATGAGCTCAATCACCGTGACCGTGCACAAATTAACATAAACTCAGATAAAAACATAATACAATGACTTGTGTTTAGTTTTCAGACCATCATATCTTGATCGGCTATGGTTCGTATTCTAAAAGCTCACTCACACTCAATGAGTGGGACTTCAATTTGAGCTTCTCTTGAGTGCCAATACTGTTTTTGAATAGTTGGAGGGTGAGTAGTCACATATTACAGTACGACACTAACCCTCCAGCTATTCAAAAACAGCATTGGCACTCAAGAGAAGCTCAGATTGAACCTCTACTCATCGAGTGTGAGTGAGCTTTTAGAATACGGGCGTATGGTTTGTATTTATATTTCATTGTAATTTTTTCCAAGCTCATAAAAAGATCTTTGCTATGAGACTTTGTTCATGTGATGAACTTTAAGTATAATATTAGTGCGGACGCGTTTGATAATTTGGCAGTTACCATTTCAATTTCATTCAAATTACTCTCATTCAAAACGTTTTGATTAATACTGTCAAGTGTCAAAACGAATTTTCTGCTCATTGCCTCATTTTCTTGTTAATTATAACAACTTGTCACAGCAAATTTTATCACTGCACATTTTATATTTTATCACTGACTGCACATTTTACATTTTATCATTGCACAAATTAGTTATCACTGCATACTAAATTTTATATTCTCGTGGTGAAAGCAAAATTTTATGCAAAGTATTTTTTGCGCTACTTGAAATCGTGGTCCATATCTTAATTCGCGCAGCCTTATATCCCCCACCTGCATGCATGTATAATTGTTTAATTCGTATTTTCATGATAGACGACATCTCGTACTGTGGATGGCTAAAATGGGTACTTTGGATGGCAATTTTGGCTTGGTTTGTTAGTTATCTTGGATCCCAATATTTAAGTGCCTGATCCAGCTATGGTAGAGGACAGCTCGAACTTTAGAAGGCCAAATGAAACCTCAAGTGAAGCTTCAAGCTCAGGTAATTGTTTCATCTGTTTTTCAAGTGCCTCATGCAGCTATGGTAGAACACAGCTCGTAGTTTTAACAGTTTGTCAGCCATTTTAACAGTTTGTCAGCCATAATAATAATAATAAATATATTTTGCTCTTTTTGAAAATTACAAATATCAACAATTAATTCTTAAATAATAGGTAGAATAATAAATATGATTAGTTGACACACTGTTTAATAAATATTGGGCCTGGTAACTAAATTAACCGTGAGGTTTTCTGGTTAGTTACCAGCCTATTGATTTTAAAATTTAATTAGAGATGAAAGATAATTTGTTTAACAGAGCCAAATAAAAAGAGATTAAAGCGCATATTAATTAATATTGTTTTAATTTGTCTCAAATTGTTTTTTTAATAAATATTTAAAAAAAATCTCAGCTTCTCAAAACAAAGTTTTATTAATGGTGAAATTTAATTGTAATAAATTGCACGCTAAACATTCAAACACAACATAAATTTAAGTATGCTCACCAACAAATTTTGTTTTTGAAACTTCTTTTCAATGATAAACTCATTTACTCAACTAGGGCCATTAAACGAAAAATCATGACAAATCAAACTCTGAATGTAGTTCGCTTAAATGCAGTTGATTTGATGAATGAATACTTAATAGGTCGTTTTAGCTAATTTTCAAAACTTGGGAAAGTGCTTACCTAAGTTTAAAAGCTGATATGTTGGTAAATATTCGATGAAATCGTGTGCATGACCTATGAAAATTTAAGTTAGTCACTTCTGAATACGATAAATGTTATTTGAGCGAAATAGCTGTTCTAGTTTTTCCATTATATAGAATCAAACACGGCGCCACCCGGTATGGTTTTGATAAATGAATGCAAAGCCCAGTTGAACTGCATTCGCGACTCAACGTTTCGACACTCCAGTCTAATGTCTTCAATCTTGACAATGAGTGCTGTTTTGTTTTCTGTGTTGGTTTTATTAACTGATACACGGTTTTATATCATACCTCATTTGTTAATAATTTTGATCACTGTACATTTTTGTGCAAAGTTTAGCCGAGCAGAAGCACGCCCTGAAAATTTCTGAACACACCCTTATAATAATGTGTAACCACAAAACAGGCTACCATTGATATCCAAAAATGCCAAAACCAATATACACTGAACAGCACCCAGGGAAATTGGGGTGCCCAGGACAAAATTTGACTTTGGCCCCCTGGTGATTCCATCTTCTAACACTATGAGTAGGAGGGTCCAGAGACATTGTCTCGGAAATGTTTGAAATCTGAGGTCCCAGAAATGGTCAAATCCTGCATTCTGGAAGTCTGTTGACAGTTAATTTTTGTTTTTTTATCCCCCCCCCCCTTTTAATTGGGACGCAGGGCAAATTGCCCCCTCCACCCCTCTGGGCGCCCTTGACAGCACCTGCAGTTACGACTATCTATGACATCATAGTTTCATAATCACTGCTTGCAGGAAAGAAATATTTTCGTTTTGGCGAATGTAAGGCGGCTTAGGCGTGACATGCACCCACATAAAATGTTGTAATCTACAATCGTGCACAAAATATATTGAAACTTTTTAAATCACTCCCCTCCCCCCTTGTTTCCATGTTGAAAGCCTACTGTACTTATCCAAAACGAACATAAGATGACACTAGCACCGCAACCGTGTCAATGGCAGTTGAAATTTAACACATGATGTTGGAATAAACTATACTGTACCGCCTAACAACATTGAAATCGGGGGAGGGGGTTTGTCTCAAATATTTTGTGGACGATTGTCTGAAAACTGGGTGAAATCGAGCGCAGGTTTTGGTAATTTATTCCATAATATTTTCTTTGCCAGCGCTTATGTTAATCGACAAACATTTCAATAGTGTATACGAATAAAATTTGCATAACATATTAGGACTACATAAAATACATGCCCATATACGTGTATTATATTATGCGATAGTTTGTCCAAGTTAAGTTAAAATCCATACCTTACTGACATCTAACGTTCTTTCGCAAGCTTGCGTTCGATTCGAAAAAAATATATCGATAATGAAATGGTTGCTTTATTAACAAAATACCATAATGAATAAAATTACGTGGTGGTAACGTGTATGGTTATCCGAGATAAAGCGTGGAAATGCGTTGTTTCAATAATAGAAAACAACTGCGAATTGAAATATTTACATAATACATCTGTAGTAATCTTCAGCCGGTCTTCCACTAGGCGAATTTGTTCTTGCGAAGCCTTTTTCACGCTCGCTTTATCCGCCGAAGGCTTGCGAAGCTTTTTTCAATTTTCACGCTCGGTTTATCCGCCATTTATGGCATTGTCTCTTCCAAGTCTGCGAGTGCACGCACTGCAAAATGCCACATTTTATCACTGCAGTTGTTTGTATAATGATGAATTTACAGTTACAACTTTGAAAAGTGACTTTTCACATTGTTTAAGGAGAATCAAAAAAAGTTAAAATTTTTCAACTTCAAAATTTTTTCCGCGCAATGACATATTTACAAAATGTTCTTTCTGTGGAAAATTTTCCATAACCGTTTATCTCTTCTCTTTTCAGGCTCTGGAAATAACTTTGACAGGAACGCGGCGGCTGCAGGATTTAACGCCGTACCGGGTGCCGGTGCTTGTAACAGCGGGGGTAGTGGCGAGGCGACCAACAGCTTCGGTAATATCGGTTCGGCGGCAGCGAGTACTGGCTACGGTGGGGGATATGGTGGAACCCACGAGGCGAACGCCATGGGTAACTCTGGCTTCTTTGGGATTTCAGGAGCTGGAGCAAGAGGTGGAGAATTTATCAATCAGGCCGGGGGGATGGGGGACCAAGCCGTCAATGCTGGCAGGATTGGTCGAATTCAGTATTTCAACTGCAATTTCCGAGGAGGGGGTAATCAGTGACAGGGTTCGAATTAACAGTGGAGCTATTATTCCAGGATGCATTCGCCGTTAAGGGATGTGATGGTCCATTCTTGGAAGGCGGTGACTCAGGTTCTCTCGTTTTCTTTCATGACAAGAATAACCAGAAACAGGTGTTTGCCTATGGGGTTTGCGAAGTGGATGAGCTTCTCTTACCAGAACAGCACGAGTCAGCGAGTTCTTGCAGTTTTGATGAAGACGAGTCTGAGTCTGAACAGGAAATCGAGGATGAGAATGAAACTACATCTGAGAGTTCTGAGGCTGAATGTAAGGATGAAAAATGTGAAGATGGATGACTGCAGCAACTTCATACGATCATTTTCAAATCTTTATATTAGTAATTGCACGGCACTCATGGAAAACAGGTACTTTTATAAATGGATATGTATATAAAATTGTAATATGTAACTTTTTATTGTATTGTATTCTATTCTATAATTGGCGTTTTAAAATCCTGATGAGTTTACCGTGGTTAAATAAAGTTCACTTACTCATTCACACAGCGTTGCATCGCATTCAATGCCGCGGCCTAACTCACTTCGCCATCTGGCTTGAATAAAAGGTATAGTTCAGAATCGTCCGCATATACATGAACATCTGGAAGATGATTCACATAATTTTCAGTTGCAGCCACAATTGTGAAAACAAGCTGCTTTCTCAAGTCCTAGGTTTTCCAAAGCCGTATCTAATCTAAGACAGATGAAGTATGGCCCTGACGCTTTCACTTTCTTCTTGGAAATTCTTTCTTCTTTTCTCTCCATTTCCTTCTCCGAAATGTCGCTCTCACTTTCTTCCTGAAAAACAACCCACTCTTTTTCACATTCCAATTTATCTTTATCTTGCCAGACTTGAATTTACGTAAAGTGTTAGCTTGTCGTATCTCGACTGGAAGGGTGTTCCACAGTACCGCACCACTGGAGCTAAAACTATTTTTCAATGCGTGGTTGAGGTAAAGCTAATGTAATGTGCCTCCGGTGTCTCCAGAGCGATGTCTCTCAATGACAATGTATAATTTGTAGAGGTAATCACACGGGAAGGAGTGCAATTAATAGTGAGCTTAAGCAAACGACGTTGTTGTCAACAATGACGTCAGATTGCCGAGGGGGGACTGGACTCAAAACTGTGTTTGTATCAGTTTGTAGTAATCTTCATCACATGTGACAAAACATAAGATTTTAGTTTAAGTTTTTTGCTTGCTTACACGAGCGCCATGATGCAAAATACCGTCAAAATTAGTCATACCAATTTTCAGGTGACTTTCGTGTTGAGAAAAACGTCGTTTGCCTAAGTACGCTAATGATTAACACTACGAGTGATATTTGAAAAATGTGCCAAAATTGCACGAGCCGCCGGGGCGAGTCAGATCCTTATTCTGTGACATCGTCCATTTTGAGACGGATTGTCGCTTGTTTATAGGCTTGCACCACTTACGTGTAAGTCTCTGCGTGGAGTAACCAAATGAAAGAACATATAATTTATACAATATATGAAAGTTTAGGAAAATCCTATTATTCCTATAGAATAGCGGTCGCGAAATTTATATATTTAAAAACAATTCTTGATAGTTATTTTAGTATAGGCTATATTTGACACCGGATGTAATTGTTAAGAAAATGTCTTTTCGGACTGCTTTGAGGCGCGTTTGTTGGTTCGTGTGCAATAAAACTTTAAGGTATTAACTAGTTAATAAGAACTATATATATGACTACTTTTTTTCTAATTTATTGGAAGAGAAGGAGGGCATTTTTTAACTATATAATTTCAATATAACTACTGGGGAATTTACCCCAGTAAGCCCTTTGCTTGCTCCAGTAGTGAAGCAAGATTTTCAGACGAACTGGGCGCTTTTGAAAAAGCTGCCTGCTTTCTCATATCTAATATCTTCTCACATTCTTGATATTCCATCTTATGAAAGTCAGAACAGGCAGGGGTGGCACTAAAGGGGGTGGGGGGGGGAGGGTTGAACTCCCCCGGTCGTCAGGTAGTCGGCAAATGATCTAATCCCAGTTGGATAGGAAGGAAAGAAACTAAAATATTTGAGTGACACTAATTAAAAACTAATAATTGTAGCTAAAATTTAGAGAAATGTACGAAAAAATTACGAAAAATTAGGCATAACTGTGCGGGGAAATTCGGGAAAAGGTCCTTATTGAGACTTGGCCCCAGTAGTTGCAATTTCTTAAAAAATGCCCTGATCAGGGAAGAAATGGCTATATTTTTCATTTTTACTTCTGAGTGATTGAAATGAGTGAGTTCACCCACACCATATCGAATGTCATGGTTGAATCATATCATGTGACCAGATTTGGTAAAAAGTTTCGACCATCGACTTCCTCAATCTTAGAAACTAGAATTTCAAACGAATTTGAACTTTTCAAGCTGATTTTAACGCGGTAAAGGTAAGAGATTTTGTCTTTTATTAAATATATCACGTTGACATTTGTTTATAGTTTTGAAAAGGTTAGCAATTGTTGCATGTTTTTGCTTTAAATCACAGACACAGTTTCTTGTGCTATCGACTCTTCGCTTGGACTGTTTAGTTTTGGTAAACGAGTTTTTAGTTTGCGTTCTTTCATATATTTTTAACTGAGTTCTGTTTATTGACTACCATATTTTGCACGTATCATTGTAGCTCAGTATATTTTGTTTGTTAATTTCCATATTTTGCTCTTTCATTCTGTTATTTAACAATTATTGGTCGGCGAAGCCGAGGTGATTATCTGAAGCAGCAAAGTGAATATAGTCTTCAATCTTGTGATCACCGAGCCTGAGGTGACTAATTGTTTTGGTATAAATTCAGTATTGATTTTACTATTGAAAAATAATAATATATACAAACGTTGACAATATAATTTACTTCACTTTTCTGCTTTCGAGTCAAACGAATCCAGCTATCAGAACCTTGACCTTGTCGCCCGATTCTGTTAGTTTCCAGTTTTGAATTGCCAAATAAATTGTTTTAGGCATCTAAAAGATGCCCTTGTCTTTCGGAAATAAGTTAACACCATATATTATACAATTACTTTATGGTTTCCGTGTTTGGATGGCCTGATCCAAACACGCGGGAATGTTGCGAGAGTTAAGAAAAGCGAGTGAAACACAAGCCGAAGGCAAGTGATTTTGCCCGCTTTTCTTAACTCGAGCAACATTCCCGCGTGTTTGGATCATTCCATCCAAACATGGAAACCATAAAGTAATTGTTTTATAAAATAATAACAACACGATAGTCTTCCGTGTTTGGATGGCCTGATCCAAACACGAGTTTCGACCAATCAGCACACACGTTATATACATGTTATTTTATAAAATTTGTTACTTTTGCTTTTAGAGAAATAGTATGTGCTCTAATTTCTTCAATTTTTTCTTCAATGATTTGTTCCCAAGTGGATTTTTGGTAGCCTGCGTCGCAGACACTTATCACATTTATACACACACAGACTAGGTCGTAGTCTAATTTTTGGAAAGCCATTTTGTTTTGAAAGCAAAACTGCTCTCAGCAGTGACTATAGAATGTTTGCATGTAATGTCATAAAAATTCTAAAAGCTTAAGCGTTTAACATATATATTTGCCCATTTTATATATTTTGTATATCCTTAATACAAGTATTCCTGGCAAATTTCAAGTCAATACAGTATTAATTCCTTCGCGAGTTAAAGCACGGTTAGTTAAAGGGGCTTCAATAATTTATATTGTTGATGTCAGCATTATTTTGAAAAGCTGTTATAAGCTACACGGTTTTCCAAACCTAAGTTGAAATATTTCGGTGGGCTTTCAAAAGCTTTATATACTTAACATCAAACATAATTGAGGACCTGTGTGATAAAATATATCTTTCCTTGGACATTTACTACACAGCCGCCATGTTGATATCCTGAGATTGCATAATATTAGCCTGCGCGGCAGGCAGTATTTCTACAGGCAGCGAAAATTAGGGAGGCAAAGGAAAGTACCGCCTGCCATGCAGGCTAGCATAATATTGGACCACCAACATGGCGGCCGTGTAGTGCCAAGAAAAGTGTTATATTTTATCACACAGATCTTCAATTATGTTTGATATTAATTATATAAAACCTATGAAAGCCCACCGAAATATTTCGACTTTATAGGTTTGGAAAACTGGGTATCTTAAAACGGCCTTTCAAAATAATGCTGACGTCAGCAATATAAATTATTCAAGCCCCTTTAACTTGTGAATAAATTACTGTATCGACTTGAAATTTGCCAGGAATACTTGTAGTAAGGATATATCAAATATATAAAATGGGCAACTATATATGTTGAACGCTTAAGCTTTTAGAATTTGATGACGTTACATGCAATTGGCTCGTTACTGCTGAGGGAGCCAATCAGAATGCTTGAAAGACATTTTTCAATTAACAA